CCTCTGCAGGCATTGGGCAAGAAGAGCCCCCCGAGTCTGCATTCTGCCACGGCTGGCCAAGCCCAGCCGATCCTCCCAGGGAAGCGATTCCAGGGCCCTCCTTCTGCCGCCCTGGTGTGCCTGCTCATTAGGCCTGAGAGAAGGCAGTCCAGGGAGGGGCCGTGAGGGACTGCCAACCTGCCCGAAAGGGAGCCCTTGTTTCAGGAAACGGCACAGCCTCCAAAGTGGAACTGCCTTCTGGCAAACCCATCTGGGATGGGGACGCCCAGCCTGGCTCGATGAGGGAGGCCAGGACGGGCCAAGGACAAAGTGCCCCTCAACCGTGGATGCAAAAAGGCAACTGTTTGGCCTGAACCAGACTTTGAAAAAGTATGTCTTGTAGAAAAAATTTTAAACTTTATAGCTTACGGCATTGTTTGAGTGGGCCAGAAACAAGGTAGTTATTTGTTACATTTAAGAGTTTTTAAAATGTCATGCAGTTTCCCCTTTATTAAAAGTAATTAGTTACTTTAAGTTTCTTTTTTATGTTTTTTAAAACCTGAAGGCTGTAAGCCCTTGGCTCCTGGTGCAAAAGACACTCCCTTTCCTGTCTCACCTTGTCACTGTCTCAGCCCAAGGAAACTGTTCAAACACAGGGTAGTCCCCTTCCACCCCACCTGTGTTAACTGCAAAGTTACAGACATACCCCAAGAAGAAAGAAATTACCCCTTGTGAAGGCACCTGCACAATGGATCTTGACTTCACCTTCATTAATAGAAAAATTAATTGATCACAAGGAACTAGCGGTTTGCTTTTAGTTGTTTGCAAGTCACCCAGTATTTCTAACTAGCTACTTCCTAGCTCTGGGCAATAAACTCCCATCCATCAGCTGAGCTGGCTGAGGCTTCCAGGTTTTCCCTCGGTGCTGCTGCTTGGATCTCAGGGCAGACAGACCACAGGCCAGGAAGGACAGCGACGGATCACCTTCGCTTGTGAGTGGGGCCGTTTCCAGACGCCATGGCCTTTCCACGAGCCGAAATCCAGCCTATCACAGCAGCTCAGTCGCCCACGTCAGCCTATGTGAAATCCCCCCCCCCCAGGAGAAATGTAGGGAAAGTGAGGGGTCTGGCCCTGAGTGGCACACAAGCCAACTCTTCCTTACCGTTTCCTGCTGGAGAGAATGCAGCCGAGTCTCCAGGAGGCTCTTCGGCTGCAGCTGGCCTGCCATCCCCACATCGTTCCGGGAGATTTTGTTGTGAAGGTCTGTGATGGTCTCTTGCAGCTCTTGAGCGTTAGCATCCTTCTCCAGCAGCTGTAGGACGGGGAGACAACCCACAGGCCATGCGTCATTGTGGCCTTCAGTGCTCTCCCTACCTGGGCAAGGCGAGTCAGGCCTTAGTGGAAAGCAAAATGGGGATTCAGGGAGGAAACACACAAAGGAAACCCCCTCAGAGCCTGGATTTCTCTGGGACTGGGAATGAATCCGTAGCCGTGCTTCAGGAAGAAGCCCCACTGCTGAGCTGGGAAGGCAGGCAGGGATCCATGTCAGCTCACGTGCCTGCCAATCCAACAGCCCACTTCATCTCCGTTCACCTGAGGATAAAGGGAACTTCTTCAAATATCTGGGACCACTTGAATTCTGCAAGGCAGCAGGGCTTTATAGGTCAAACCACAGCAGTTTGTTTGTTTCAAAGCCAACCGTGGCTGGAGAAGCAGGACCAGATCACAGTACACTGCCCACCCTGCCCCAGTCCTTTTGGGAAGTGGGGAGGCCCCACGCAATAGGCTCAGGCCACAAGCCTTCTCACTGCTGCTCCCACCCTTCATCTCCCTCCATCCTCCTGCAGATAAGCTGCCACCCACCCACCCACCCACCGTGGGCTGGGCTGCTGAGCGGTGGCTTCTGCTCCTCCCAGGCCCCTGCTCTGCAGGGGAAAGCACAACCCGTCCTACCTCTTTTCCGGCCCTCTCCTGCTGCCAAGCGGCGTCCGGCTGATGAAGGCCAGGCTCCAAGGTTCGTTGCTCCTTCAGGGTCAGCACAGACCTCAGTCCCTCTTGCTCCCTTGGCTGTCCTGGCGGGAAAGACCTACACACAGAGGGAACAAAGGGTGGCTTAGCCAAGGTCCAGGGGCCACAAGGACACTTTGGTGAAAGGGAACAGCCCCAGGTGGCCCTTGGGGAAGAGACAGCTGCTCGGAGCAGAAGGACATGGTCTCAGCGCTGGAGGAAGAAACCGGGAAAGACGGGGCCTCTTTCCTGGTGGACAGCCTGAGCAACTGGAGGCACAGGAAAACGCTGGGTGAGTCCCACAGGCCACCTGGCCTGGGCCAAGGTGACCTCCTTGCCTAAAGGGTGAGCAGAAGAGAGGCCTCAGCAATGGCTGGCCCCGCAGGCCTCCCCGTGATTCTGCTTGGAAGAAGAACAAGAGGGTGGGGCCACAAAGCCACCGAAGTACTACAACCGGGACTCTCTCGAGCGCTCCGGCAGTCCCATCCCGGCGGGATGTGGACGGAAAGGCATACAAGGATAGAGCCCCTGGCTGGGTCCAGACAGCCTCACCGGCACTTCCAGGTAAGAGAGAACCAGGAAGTGGGGCAGGAAGTGCTTTCCATGCCTAAGATTCTGGATGTGGGAAAGAGGCTGCGTGGGGCTGTGCCAGCAATGCTTGGACTTGGCATCAACGCAGGTTGGCCAGGGGTTCCCCCCACCCACCAACCCTCCAAATGAATTCCCACCAGCAACCTTCTCTGGAGCCATCACCGCACGGCATCCAAGAAGCAGGCCTGTGCTCTAAAAACTGCTTCTTCTCCAACTTTCTATCTTGTGACCGCAGCTCAGGGCTGCACACTCTCCTGTTTCTGGACGGTGACAATGCATTCCAAGACCGAGCGCTCCAGCGCTGGAGGCATTCAAGAGAAAACGGGGCAACCGTCTGTCAGATCAGCGCTGATCGGGATTCCTGCCTTGAACCAAGGGGTTGGACTCAATGGCCTTACAGGCACCCTTCCAATGCCATGATTCTACGAACACCCGTACCCAGGTCCCGGGACACGCAGGCGCAGCGGCTGGGGGACAAGGTGCTCTCTAAGCCAACCTGGCTTGTTCACCAACAGCCCCCCCCCCCCCCGAGGTACCCTGTACAGAATTCCTTCCACGGAAAGTGTGCTGATAGATTTAATCTACTTAGCAGGAGTTAATCAGAGATTTGTTAAAGATTTAAGGATTGCACACACTTTGCCAGCGAGCGATTGCCTCACGCCAACGGCACGGCGGCCAGGCTGCACGAGTGTCACCTCCCACCAAACGGGCTGCCTGGATCCCGAACCGCATCCCCATTCAGACAAGCGATGGGTGTTAAATCAAGCCAAGGGGAAGACGTCCCTTTTCTGTGCAAAAAGGAAGCGTGTTCTGCTACTCCAAACGGCGGGTAACCAACACGGAGGAGGACTCCACTCGCATGGCTTTAAAAGATGCTATCATCTTCCCCAGCCCCTGGAAGACCGCCAGCCCGAGTTCTTAATAACTCTTCCAGAGAAGGCTTCCAACGAAGCTTTGGCCAAGCTCCAGAACTGGGAATTTGAGGGCGCCGCCTGTGTTCATGTGAATGGCACAGAAAGGGCAGGGGAGTGGTGCCAGTCTTCAGGAAAAGGTCTGATGATCGGGTCAAGTGCAGTTCCTAAAAGGTCACGACATGCACCCTCATCCGGCATGGTCTAGGCTCCGGCAGTTCAGTCCCTGTCATGGGCACCACAAGCCTCAGGGAGTCTTGGTCTCCATCCAGGAATGGCCGTGGCCCAACCCTGAACCTGGGGGAAACGAGACCCGGAACCTCCCTCATCCCGCTTTCTCCGCGGCTGGCAAGCCCAAGCCCTTGGACGGGAAGGCGCTTTCCAGAGGCTGGCTGGGCTGTCGGCACAAGAGAAGCCAACAGCATCGGGTTTGTTCCGGGGATGCGAGCGGGAGGGAAAGGAAAAGAACGAGGAGGGCAAAGGGGAGGGGGGGGACAGCCTTCGGAGCGCCCAAGTTTCCTCGGTGTTTGCAGAGCGAGCTGAAAAACAGGACAAGTCCATGGGCAGACAGTGGCACTCATAAATTATACAAGTCATTTGCATATTCTAGTCATGAGGCATTATGCAAACAGTGCCTGATTTGCATAATGGGTTCCACTCGCCTTCCATTGCTTCGTGCTTTTTTTTTCCTCTTTAAAAAAAACCACACACACACAGACACAAACGAAACCAAACCAAAGGAAAGAAAAGGCGAAGGCCAGCGCCAGCCCCCACTCTGACCCTGGTGAGGCAAGGGAAGAGAATGGGCCATGGAGGGGAGGCGGCAGCAGCCATGCCCGGGCATGGGAAGTCTGGCTCTTAACGACAGCCCATCCTCTTGGACCTGGCTGAGATTTCCCCTCAAAAGCATGAGGTTTGAGCCAGTTAGTAGGAGGTGGGGGGGGCAGGAGAAGGGGATGGAAGACAGGCGTGGGTGAGGCGGGAATATGCCCGCTCACCTCTCCTCTCCTTGCCAAGGGGGTCCGGCTGGGTGGGCAAACCTTTCCCCTCATCGCTGCTTAATAAAAGACGGCAAAGACACACATGCATATTGTATTATATTAGGTGCTAATAAGCTAAGC